TGCCATACAGCCGAGATGGCAACACGTACCACGCACCTGTCTACTGTCGTGACGTCAATTAAAAATATGGGTATCGGTTGCCGGCATCAAGTCCTATTGTATAAGTATAAGTACAAGCCTATGGTATGGACTCTAGAAGAACCTCAAATCCATATTAATCTTGAGTTGTTTGTGCAAAAACATCATATAAACAGGATGCAATTTTAATTAAATCGATTGGACTCTCTTTCTTTATAGGTTTACCACCAATTACCAAAAGACACAGAATAAAGAAGTGAACCGCGTTGCAGCAGCAGCACACAAATCTGCTTTGTGAGCGTATCAGTGCTGGCCCCTGCTGTGACCTGCTGCCCCAGACTGCGAGCTCCTCTGTCTCCACTCGGGGCGTGTCTCTGTTCTCACAATATTCAAGTGTATTTTTATACAACTGGGGACTTTCTGCCTTTTTATCCTGGGACAACTGAACGCTTCACACATACCTTCCCCAGACGCTGTGGAAGATGTGGCCAGAGCTCTGGGTTTGGAGGCCTCCGTGGGACCACAAGGTTCTCAACAAACTCAAGTCTAGCTGGTTGCTGGTTCGGTTTACAATTCTAGGATACAGCCTTGGGAAAGTTGGATTGTGTTGGTTGTACAATTCCATTTTTTAAAGTCTACTTACTTAAATCAAAACGTTTGTCTAAGCGGAGGCTGTAAGTTTAAAATGACAATTTTGGATGGCTACACTCAGAATCTTGATTTTTATACAGTTCATGCTTATGTAAATCCTATTGTAGTGTATATATTCACTAATTACACTTGTAAAAGGGTAGGCCAAATTATTATTATAATTAACTTCAGCCTCCACCTTTTCAGTCTTTTTTTCTGCTACAAAATTACTCCTCCAAAACAATGTGTATAATTGTACGTGTAAGAGACCGAAATAAACTTCATTCATTCAGACTCGGAGTTGTGTCAAATGTGTCAAAAGCCTCATTCCCACTGAGCGACATGGGCTGCTCGGCATTTGACCCGGCTAGCGACCGAAATCACCGTGACCAAACCAAACCAAGCTGGTTGCTCACATGTGGGTTGGATGAAAAAGCAATAAAACTAGACACAAAAAGGACAACAATCTGCAATATGACAGAGAAGCAAGAACGACGCTCTTACCATCAAAGTTTGGGGTTTTTGTTGTGCTGCTCGTTCCTTTATAAAGATATCCTTGTAAATAAATGTGTAAAATAGATTTGCTGAGGTCCTGGGTGCTGTGACTTTAGAAGATATTTGGATTTTGTTTGTTTTGACCCCTTTGGTTGGACACGTTCCTGTCTTCCCTGCGGTGAAACCTCAACACGGGTCCAAACAACACACCTACCTTTCCCACTGTACTTTTATTCTTGAACACTTTAAATGTTGGCTTAAGACGCACTTTTTTTCTTTGGTTTCTAACACCAGGTAGAAAGAGACACGTTTTTCGTTTTTTGTGTGTTTATTTATTTTTTCCCTTGTTCTGTTCAGCACTTTGGTAAGCCAAGGCTGTTTTAAATGTGCTCTAGTAAGTTATGATTGATTGATCCTTTGACACCAATGAATCTCTGGACTGTGTCTAGTTTTTTGTTTATTTAGTTCCCTTTTTTCATGGTAATGGTTCCACCACTACTATTAATGCTATCTATATTAACAACAGTGGCTCAGTTGGTAGAGCATTGGCCTTTGAGCCTGAAGGTTCTCCACCGACTCCCACTGGGCAACACACTCAACCCACTTTGCCTTTATGGAGCGTGGAAGTGATGTTCGCTGCTTGCCTTGATGTGTATATGTGTATGTATATGTGTGTGTGTATGTGTATGTGTATGTGTGTGTGTATGTGTATGCATCAAACTGAACATTTTCCCATTGTGGGACAAATAAAGGACCTTCTTCAGTAATATTAGATGCAACAGTGATGCAAAGGTGACAACAGTGGCGACGGACACAACAGCGAAACGGTTGTAGTTTGAGCCTTATCTTAGTCCTGACTTGATCTCGAGGTCTGGTTTATCCGTGGTCTCGGTCTGAGTGAGTGAGTGAGGGAGAGAAAGTCCTGTGGCTGGCTCTGTTTCAGACTCGGCACCGCTGTGTTCTCTCCACCCACAGAGCCGGCACCTGTTAGAGATTGAGCTGCACACAACCAGCTGCAAACCATTTCCAGATCACCACCGCTCCAGTACTAATGATTACACTAATCGGCCTCCATCATGAAACGTAGAGATGGAAAACTGGAAAACTCTAGCCGTATTTGTGTATACAGTGGGGTATATCAAGTATTTGGCGTCACTGTAGTTGTTCTACTTAAGGAATGAATGAGAGAGGTCCTTACTGTGAGTGAGTGTGAGTGTGTGATCCGGGATGTTATTGTTTTTTATTAGTCCGTTTTATTGCCATTGTAAGAAACAGGAAGTCACAAACTAGGAATTTGCTTTGGTACATGGTGCAAACAAGTTATAAAAAAGTTCACTCCAAAAATAAAGGCAGGCATTAAAAAAATCCTTAGAAAACGCTAATATATAAATACACATAATAGACATTTAACGGAGTAGATTGTCAATGAATGACCAGAGGGCTGAGCCAAGTCATGTATATCTGCTACAGTAGACTTTAAAACCTATGGCCTTGTTCTTCTTAGATCAAGTGATGATGCAATAATTAGAATTTAGAATGTTATTAACCAGGCAAGAAGCATTAACCAGAAGAAATTAGGACTGGTCGGACCCAATCTGGAATAAATACAGAAATGAAACGTTCCCTCTGAAGTGCAGGTCCAGGAGCAAGTCTGACTTGAGCATTTACAAAATAATGCCTCATGAAATAATGTAAAATATTCCGGGGGAAATATTCTGAAATATGTCTGCACAATAGAAATGATAAATAAATAAAACTGCAGGAATTTGGGAAAAAAATCCAGGAACTTTCTGTAAATTAGAAAATGTTTGTTTTGTCCTGTTGTCCGGACCCCCTTTAAAAAGAGATGGTTCATCTCAAGGGGATATCCGCAAGAACAAACAATAAGTAGAATTCACATTGTATGATTTTTAAACAAATAATGTGAGCAGAAATTCAAACTGAATACTTTCTAATGTGTCTGATGCAGATTTTTTCTAAAGCTCCACCAGACTTTCAACTCCCTCCACACATTTCCTGTTGGATTGAAGTCTAGAGACTGCTCGACCACTGCAGGATCTTATGCCCCTTCAATGCCAGGGCGGTGTGTTTGGGATCATCGCCACGCTGGAAAACCCAGGCCACACACACATTTGGATTATGAAGTAGCCTCAGAACCATGTTTGAAGGGTAATGTTTCACTTTGTTGTATTCAGTAGTTTCTATTGGGTTGGAAAAAGGACTAAAAGACTACTTCAAAAGTGTTCGGCTCACATTCTGGCGCTTTAATAAAGCCGACCCCTGTTTTACAGACATTTATTATGCAGTAAAATCCACTAATTTCTCACTCTCAAAACATTTTAGTTCAATAACTTTTTGTGTGTATTTTGCCATTTTTCACATCAGATATTTCCGTGTAAAAGGATGTACCGGCCCTCACTCACGAGGTAAAGACAGCATATTTAGTTACTCATTCTCTAGACTCATTCTGTTGGGACAAACAACATGTATTTGTTTCATATGTCTCTGCCTCTGCCCCTGCCTCTACCTCTGCCCCTGCCTCTGCCTTCCCCTCTGCCTCTTCCTCTCCCTCTGCCTCCACCTCTTCCACTGCCTCTGTCCCTGCCTCAGCCTCTACCTCTGCCCCTGCCTCTCCCTCCTCTGCATCTGCCTCTGCCTCTGCCCCTGCCTCTACCCCTGCCTCTCCCTCCTCTGCCTCAGCCTCTCCCTCCTCTGCCTCAGCCTCTGCCTATACCTCTTCCTCCTCTGCCTCAGCCTATCCCTCCTCTGCCTCGGCCTCTTCCTCTGCCTCTTCCTCAGCCTCTCCCTCCTCTGCCTCAGCCTCTCCCTCTGCCTCTGCCTCAGCCTCTCCCTCTGCCTCTGCCTCAGCCTCTGCCTCTTCCTCAGCCTCTCCCTCCTCTGCCTCAGCCTCAGCCTCTCCCTCTGCCTCTGCCTCAGCCTCAGCCTCTCCCTCTGCCTCTGCCTCAGCCTCAGCCTCAGCCTCAGCCTCTGCCTCTTCCTCAGCCTCAGCCTCTATCTCTTCCCCTGCCTGTCCTTGGCCCTGCCTCTGCCTCTGCCCCTGCCTCGCCCTCCTCTGCCTCAGCCTCAGCCCCTTCCTCAGCCTCAGCCTCTGCCTCTACCTCTTCCTCTGCCTCTGCCCCTGCCTCTCCCTCCTCTGCCTCTGCCCCTGCCTCTCTCTCCTCTGCCTCTGCCTAATCGGCCGCACACTGGGCTCTCACACACAATCTGGGAAGTTTTATCGTCAGATCCTTGTAATTTCCATCCACTGTGGGAAGCATGAAGGCTTAATTTATTGGACCTCTGGCTCTGATTCAAACCAATGGAAGGCCTCACGCTCACACTGTAAAAGAGAATCGATTGGTAATGCCAGGTGCGGCTGCAGGACGCATTAGGGAGAAGTCATGTGAAGTTTACAAGGAGCATTAGTCAGGGCAAAACTGTTTCTGGGCAAGACTGACTGGGAGAGCGAGTGATGCAAAAAAAGAAAATGTTACTTTTCTCGCTGATATTCTGCTAATCTGCTCATCTCCATAGGGATGTTTGTACTTCGATACCAATATTTATTGTTAAAAATGTACTGAGTCAGTTTTTCAGTAAGGGAATACCATAGAAGGAGTGGACTGACTGATCTCAAACAGTCTCTATGGCTAGCAATGACCTAGCAACCAAAGAGCCAATCAGGAGCAGTGCTTTTCCATCCCAGCTTGTACTCCTCACTGGCTGAAATCACGGACCAAAGAGAGCGGCATTTGAAAACGGTTGTAACTTGTAGTTTAATACACTTCTTTACAAGAATTTGTTAAAAAACATTTCAATATTCTAGTGGTAGAGGAAACCTACTCAGAGATGAGGAGAACATGCAACTTCCTCACTGCTCTGCTCTCCCCTGGTCCCCGTTCTCCCCTGGTCCCCGCTCTCCCCTGGTCCCCGTTCTCCCCTGGTCCCCGCTCTCCCCTGGTCCCCGCCTCTCCCCTGGTCCCCGTTCTCCCCTGGTCCCCGTTCTCCCCTGGTCCCCGCTCTCCCCTGGTCCCCGCTCTCCCCTGGTCCCCGTTCTCCCCTGGTCCTCGCTCTCCCCTGGTCCCCGTTGTCCCCTGGTCCCCGCTCCTGGTCCCCTGGTCCCCGTTCTCCCCTGGTCCCCGCTCTCCCCTGGTCCCCGTTCTCCCCTGGTCCCCGTTCTCCCCTGGTCCCCGCTCTCCCCTGGTCCCCGCTCCCTGGTCCCCCTGGTCCCCTGGTTCTCCCCTGGTCCCCGTCTCCCCTGGTCCCCGTTCTCCCCTGGTCCCCGTCTCCCCTGGTCCCCGTTCTCCCCTGGTCCCCGCTCTCCCCTGGTCCCCGCTCTCCCCTGGTCCCCGTTCTCCCCTGGTCCTCGCTCTCCCTGGTCCCCGTTGTCCCCTGGTCCCCGTTTCCCCTGGTCCCCGTTCTCCCCTGGTCCCCGCTCTCCCCTGGTCCCCCGCCCCGCTCTCCCCTGGTCCCCGTTCTCCCCTGGTCCCCGTTCTCCCCTGGTCCCCGCTCTCCCCTGGTCCCCGCTCTCCCCTGGTCCCCGTTCTCCCCTGGTCCTCGCTCTCCCCTGGTCCCCGTTGTCCCCTGGTCCCCGCTCTCCCCTGGTCCCCGTTCTCCCCTGGTCCCCGTTCTCCCCTGGTCCCCGCTCTCCCCTGGTCCCGCTCTCCCCTGGTCCCCGTCTCCCCTGGTCCCCGTTCTCCCCTGGTCCTCGCTCTCCCCTGGTCCCCGTTGTCCCCTGGTCCCCGCTCTCCCCTGGTCCCCGTTCTCCCCTGGCCCGCTCTCCCCTGGTCCCCGCTCTCCCCTGGTCCCGTTCTCCCCTGGTCCCCGCTCTCCCCTGGTCCCCGCTCTCCCCTGGTCCCCGTTCTCCCCTGGCCCCTGCTCTCCCCTGGTCCCCGTTCTCCCCTGGTCCCCGTTCTCCCCTGGTCCCCGTTCTCCCCTGGTCCCCGTTCTCCCCTGGTACCCCGCTCTCCCCTGGTCCCCGCTCTCCCCTGGTCCCCGTTCTCCCCTGGCCCCTGCTCTCCCCTGGTCCCCGTTCTCCCCTGGTCCCCGTTCTCCCCTGGTACCCGCTTTCCCCTGGTCCCCGCTCTCCCCTGGTCCTCGCACTCCCCTGGTCCCCGCTCTCCCCTGGTCCCCGCTCTCCCCTGGTCCTCGCACTCCCCTGGTCCCCGCTCTCCCCTGGTCCCCGCTCTCCCCTGGTCCTCGCACTCCCTGGTCCCCTCCCCCTGGTCCCCGCTCTCCCCTGGTCCCGCTCTCCCCTGGTCCCCGCTCTCCCCTGGTCCCCGCTCTCCCCTGGTCCTCGCACTCCCCTGGTCCTCGCACTCCCCTGGTCCTCGCACTCCCCTGGTCCTCGCACTCCCCTGGTCCTCGCACTCCCCTGGTCCTCGCACTCCCCTGGTCCTCGCACTCCCCTGGTCCTCGCACTCCCCTGGTCCCCGCTCTCCCCTGGGTTCTTCTGAATGACTTCACTCGGATCAGACTCAACAGGGCTGGGGTTAGGGCCAACAAAAAGACATCGTTTATTTGGGATAATCCTCTGCCAGCGTCCATGGTGCACGGCGGGAACCATTAACCTACGGAACTGTACAAACTTCAATTTAGATTTCTTTGAGTTTTAGTCTTGGACATATGTTGTTTGTATTATACTTGGAATGCGTTTTGTCCAGTACCTGTGTTGTAAAAAGTTATGGAAAAATTAGTCCAAAATTGATAAAAGTTGGCTAAATGTATTTTTTGAGCACATATTTGAGCTCATTCTGACTGAAAATTGGCCAATGAGACAAGCAAAATGTTGAAAATGTCTGCCTTGGAATGAGAAAATAAAGCAACAACTAAATGGCTTTGTCCCATTGGCAAATCTTGTTTTAAGAAAGTCCGAAATTACTTCATGTTCAATCATTTTTGTCAGTGTAGGTTGTTTGTTTTTGTATTTGGCCTGTGTCTGCGTGTCCCGTTTGTGTTTTAAAATGATCTAACTGATTCAGATTCATTTATTTGGCATTTGCAGTAAAACCACATTGGAATACATTTGCAAAAGTCCCCAGAGTGCACAAGACAAGTACATATGTAATCCGGTGGACTGGGATGGTATGTGTTTTTGGTTTGCTGTGTATTTTCTTTTCTTTCATGCCTCCCAGTCGCCGTGGTTACCTGGCACACCTGCCTGCCCCAACTGATTACCAATCAGTACACCTGTGTCTGGGGTGGCAGTACAAAAGAGGCCATGCAGGAGAGACAGAGACGCAAAGAGACGGAACGTGCGTGGCACCGGAGGAGGGGCGTGCAGCGAGGCGGAGGGGACCCCGGGAGAGGGACCAGCGCGCACCGGGCCAGCACCATGGCGCCCACGCTCTGGACGCCCGAACCACGACACGGCGACTACACGTAGAGGCAGGGCATTCGGACCCTGCCCTGCCGGTGAGATACGCTCCAGTATAGTTGTGGTGTAAAGTGGGTGAAGCCTTCAGCTGAAAGAGGGACCCTGGGTGCTGTGTGTGCTGTGGGCAGGTGCTGCCTTTCCTCCATCTGCTGGAGCGAGAGGACTGGACCCTCTTGGACTGCATTCATTTTCTCATTTTAACCCTGTTTTTAATTACTATTTTATCTATTTTATTTTTATTGTATTAAACATTATTTTTACCAATTTTAGCCCCTGTTTTATTTGAAACACGCATCTCTTTTAGCCCCATAAATCGTTTTATTTCAGCACCGCAGCATTTTTACTTGGCACAGTTTTAATCAGCTCTTTTTACCTCATTAACCTCATCTCCCCCTTAACACATCCTTAAAACAGACTAAAAGTACAGACATAAAACAAACAAAAAGTAAACAGTTGACACTTTGAAATCGATCGACTAAAATGGTTTCAATATAAGGGCAAGATCATTGAAGTGCCCTGTTTTAAACGGATAACTGCTTGTGAAAAGAAGCTGTTAGCATATCGGGATGTCCTGCATCTCAGAGAACGATATTTCTGTCAGATTCTGCCAGAGGAAAGAAGCTGGAACATGGCTTCTCCAGGGTGGCCAGAAGAGTCATTGATAATTCTAAAATCCCGGTTTAAAAGTCTGGATTTATTGAGAACCTCCAGAACAGGAAGCTCACAGCTCACAGCCCTCTTTGCAGAGCGGAGCACCTTTTAGAGCTCTCCTTTGTTAAATAATCACAACTCATCACAAACCACAAAATCAAGAGCAAGCCAATGCAGATCTTTTTCGACGGATGTTCAAAATCCTCTCCAGAACCCAAACTCTAGACACATTCTCGTATTAACATGCACTGATAATCCTCTTCTCACCCATGACGGAAAATGTCACGATGACTTTTTCTTTCTCTCATGCGCACAAACACATCAACAAAACTCCCAAAAAGGACGACAAATACTTTTAGAAGCCATTTGTGTCTTGCAATACACATCCCGTCGCGGAGTTTTTGGGGTCGGGCCGAGTAACCCACAAAAAAATAAAAGCGATTGTCCGCATCAATGTATTTGTCTGGGCGTCGGCTGATGTAAACAGACACGCAGCTTATGCAAGGCTTTTGATCTGGTGAACCATGAAATCTTCTTGGAGAAAACAGGAAAATTAGGCTTCTTCTCTGCATGGGCCGCGGGGGAGGGGCACAACAAGCAGAGGCTCATGGGAAAAGATATTGAAGAGTTTGAAGCTATTAAATGAACTTCCCCCTTCTGACTTAATTTGATACAGCTTAGCGTTTGTTTCGTTGTTGAACCCTGAGGAACTCCAGGATGGGTGCGAGAATTGTTCCAGCATCAAAGTAGCGGCGCGTAATGGGGACCTTTGTAGTTTTATTGTCGTTATTCAAAGCCAGGTCTTAATGCGATGCAGTGTGGAGCTTGGGTCTAGTGTGAATTACCAATAACTAGGTGATTAGTTCATACTCTCCATAGATCGGGGTTTGTAATGACAGACGACGCCACGTGTAACGCCTGTGATGCACGGCCACGAGCTTCAAAAGGTGATTAAAGAAATGGTGCATCAAGGCAAGTTTATTTGTAAATCACAGTTCATACGCAGGGCAACTCAAGGCGCGTTAGTATCACTGCAAAAGGTGAGGAAAAATGTGTCAAATTGCTCAAAATTGGCTAATTCTATCGTAAATTGAGCACATTTGGACTGCCTTAAAACTAGATTTACCATTTGTTTTTAAAAGCTACAAGAAAAAAGTTCATGAAATAAGATTATATGGCTTTGTCCCAATGGCTAATCTTGTGTTAAGACAGTCAGAATGTACGCAAATTCAGATAGCTCTCGATTTATGCATTTATTACCTCATATTTTATCACTTTTTGTAGTGTATAGTTTCAAAACACTAAAATCAAACTCTCTAAAGGAAATTATGGATCCTTTTTTCAACTATAACATTACAACTATGACCTAAGTCCTTACACCACTATGCACACTGCAACAAATGATAAAACCTGAAGAAATTATTGCTTGAATCTTGTCAATTTTATCCTAATTTGAGTGTCTTAAAACAAGATTTGGGACAGTGGGACAAAGCCCATTAATGAAGTTTCAAGAGCTGTAGCTTTATTTGCTCATTCCAAGAGATACATTTCTTGAATCTTTTAAAAACAAGATTATTTTGCTTTGTCCCATTGGCAAATCTGGTTTTAAGGCAGTCAGAATGTGTTCAGTGATTTTCCGTTTGATGTTAGGGTTATCAAATATATCTATTGACGACATGACTGAGGCTGAAGGTAACCGTGGTATTTTCCTGGGTTTAAACCGCGGGGAGGCCCACCATGTGCAAACAGGCTGTAGATCCAAGACTGTATGAGACGTGTTAGCATGTTCCCCCCCCCTCTGCATTTGTCATGGTGTGGACTTGATATGTTTTTACCTGGTTTTATTTTGATATGTATATTTGTTCTCTTCTTGAGAGAATTTGTTCACTTCCTGTCTGCCCTTTTGTTTTTTTTCCCCATGACTTGTTCCTGGTTGCAGTTTTTACTTTTTTTCATGGCATTTATTAAATTATATTATTTTAGCAGTTCTGCTTTTGGGTCCTTCCTTGTTTATCCATGACACAGATATGAATCTTACACTGCTATCCACTGCCCACTGAAGAGTATACTATCAAAGAATACAATATATTATGGCTATTGAATAAGTGAGTATTGATTATTATTTGTGATTAAATGAGCGATCTAGTAACATTTATACACCATTAATTTCACAATAATGGTCTTCAGAGCAGTGTTGGCACCAGGTAGAAACATGTGTGTGTATATGATGGTGTTGAAAATATGTATGTGATAATCAAGGAGAAATAAACAGTATCTAAGCTTTATTGTAATACATTAAGTATTTTTTATTTCAAGCCTAATATTCACGCAAAAGCACCTCTTGAGATTTCAAGATTCTATGTATTTGCTATTTACAGATAAAAATCTCTTTGGAATGGCTACATGTATGATGACCACACTATTCTATGTAATGACATTTGATAATTCATTTTCCTTTAGACACCACCTCTGAAGTAAAACGTATCGTCATAATCAACAGGATTTTCATACTTTTTGTCTGGACGGCAAGTTCTCCATCGCCATCCTTTTCAGCAGGCCCCACTTCTGTTGACACGGCTCGGACCTGGAGGGGATCAGGGCGGCGTGGGGATCTCTCGGGTGATAAAAGCAGAGACAGTAAAGACGAAATCACTTGCTTTGCCCAGGAGGTTCACTTTTAATTCCCCCCCTTCTCTCGCCGCTCCCTGGTAGGATGTGTGAGTTTGAGTCCCTACCTCTCCCCCCCCCCCACACCCCCTATCCCTTCCCTCCCGCCCTCTCTCTCTCCCCCCTGGAAAGCCAGTGCCCAAGAGCTATCCATTTGAACTTCAATCGTGAGCAGCCGTCTTGTGAGGACTTGAAACAGAGCTTCTTTTGGAGGCTCTCAGAAGTGCCCAGGCATGCCTTCTTTACTTGATGTGATGTGAAGCTCACTTTTGTTTGATGATCCCGTACATAGATACAAACTGCTATCCCTGACTGAAAAAAAGGGGGTAGATAGGGGAAGACCGATAGGGTGAAAGGATAAGGACCCGCGCTATAGCCCCATCACACCTGTTTTGAGATGCTTGGAGTCAGTCTATAGGGAATCCAGGGCAACTCCATTATACAGACATAGCGCTGCAAAAATAGTCACTTAACTTTCACTTTGTAATGTTTCTGCAAGGACAAACTGATGGATGTTGTTACATATTCACTGCCGATTTAAAGGTGATGTCATCATGCAACTTTTTGTGTGAAAAAAGTGGTTGTAATGTTGCGTACTTGACCTCATAGCATGGTGCTTTAACTTGTTGATCATGGCTGTGTCTGCACTGCTCCAGGATCAAGTGTTTTGTATGGTTTCTTGTTCCGGGGTTTGTTAGCAGAGACTATAGAAACTATTAAACAATTGATCCTATAGCATGCTACAGACCTCTGTGATGGGAA